TAATTTAGTCCCTCAAAACTCTGGCTTTCTTATCTGAAAAACAGAGATAATGCCTACATCACGAGGTTGCTGTGAGGATTAAACAAGGTAACAAGCCTGGTGCACCCTCATGCCTGTAATCCCAGCATTTTGGGAGGCCGAGGTGAGAGGACTGCCTGAGCCCACAGGTTTGAGACTAGCCTGGGCAACTTGGTGAAACCTCGTCTTCACACTAAATCAAAAAAAGTAGTCAGGCATGGTGGCGCGTGCCTATAATTCCAGCTATTTAGAAGGCTGAGGCTGAAGGATCACCTGTGCCCAGCAGGTTGAGGTTGCGGTGGCCGTGAGCGTGCCACTGCACTCCAGCCTGGGCGACAGAGGGAGGCTCTGACTCAGGAATAAAAAACAAAAAATGCCTGAAAAAACTAACTCCTACCACAGGACGTGGATAAAAAAGGCTCTCCTACCTATCCTCTGTAATTTTGTCTTCTAGAAGAGGAAAGGGCAGGGGAGTCGGGGGAGGCCTGACTTATGTACCCCATACCAAGATCTTGCAAAGCTGGCTACACAGCCCTACGGGCCAGGCTGAGTCTCTGGCTGTGATGAACACTCAGAGACCTTGGACCGAACAGTTTCCCTAGGCGTCTCCCCTAGTTCCTGGAGCTCCACTCAGAGGCCTGAGTCAATTCCATGGATGACTGCCCAGTCAAGGAGCAGAGTGGCTTCTTGGAACAGGGAGGCCCAACTAAGGCTGCAGAAAGCAGGGAAGCCCAGAACTTGGATGGGTGGATGAATGCAACGAGGAAAGAATGTGAGGGCCAATCCTTTCTGTTCTTAGTCAAGAGAAGTATAGAAGATGCTACTGGGCCGGGCTCGGTGGCTCAGCCTGTAATCCCAGCACTTTGGGAGGCCGAGGTGAGTGGATTGCCTGAACCCACGGGTTCGAGACCCGCCTGGGCAACTTGACGAGACCTCATCTCTACAACAAATCAAAAATTAGCAGGGCGTGGTAGCGCGCACCTGTAGTTCCGGCTACTTGGGAGGCTTAGGCGGAAGGATTGCCGGAGCCCAGCAGGTCGAGGCTGTGGTGGCCGGGAGCGGCCACTGCACTCCAGTCTGGGTGACAGAGTTAGACTCCAACTCCAAAAAAAAAAAAGAAGATGCTACTCTTCCTGAACGACAGAAATTACTTTTCTAAACAGGAATGGGAGAACTAATTACAAATCATTCAGGGTGACAGAAGGACTACATCCCCTCTAAGAGGGCCTCAGGAGTCAGATCCCTAGTCGTCAGAAGCCCTTAGTAAGGATGGAATCCCATGTGAGTCACCACCAACTGTTGGCAGAAAGCTATGTTCAGAGTAGACCCTCCAGGATAGCGCCTCAGGTAAATATTTACCTTATCTAGGAGCTCCTGAACTAATTTTTTTTTTAGTACAAGGACTACCTGACCGTGATTTCCATGACAGCAGCAGTAGATGGAAAGGGAGAGGAAGGGTCTTTCTATTTGCCAGGATATACCCAAAGCTGGAGACTCAAGTTGGAGGGATCCCTCCCCCTGCCAGGTGAATATACAGTCTGGCTAAAAGTATATAGTAAATATTGCTCACTTACAGGAAGTTAGTGGCCTTAAAGGACTAAATTCCACTGTTTTCAGAAAAAGAAGATGCAATTCAACCTACAAAATCCCCAAGGACCCATACTGGTAAGAAGTTATTGAACAAGTTGGGTGCCAAGTATTCTACAACCAAGTCACTTGTATATGAAAAGATGATTTAAGGGGACAAAAACTAGAAATGACTCACAGGCCATTCCCTGGAGATTTCTTACAGACAGGATATAAATTATTCCTTGGGGAAAACCTAGTAGGGCCATATCTCTAACCAAATGCAACCTTGAGACCCATCCATTGCTGAAGAGGAAGTCCTGACTTCTTGGGCCATACTTCCTGCTTTCACCTTGACTTCAAAGTGATTGGTCCCTGCCTGGCAGAAGAAAAACCAGGAGCTGCAAAGAGTCATGCAATTAGGCACTACATGTTCTAAACCCTTTTAATCTCTGGCACTATTTTTATCTCATTCCCTCCCAAAACTGGGATAGGGACGGACAAGAAGACTTCTGCCTTCCAAGAGAGGAACAGGGCCAAAGAGAAGAGAGGATACAAATGCTCCCTAGAAGAGTTAATCCCTGCCTAGGATGCTCCTGACAGTGCTTCATGCTGCAGACCCCTAAAGGGCCTTTCCTAATCACACCCAGCTACAATGACCCCAGGTTCTTCAATACCCTAGTCAGTTTTTTACCTTCCATGTGGATATAGTCTGCCTTTAGATGATAAGCTCTGAAAGACAGAACCTGGATCTCCCCCAGCCTATATTCCTATCGGACTCAGCACACAGTAAGCATATATGGTCAGGAATCTAACTCTGTGTTCCTGGGCAAAAAGGTAGGCCTGTGATGGAAAATAACCAGGCCGGACCAAGCAGAAGTCAATTGGCCAACATCAAGTTTTGATGACTCTGTGTGCAAAGATCTTTGGGGATATGCAAAGGAAGAAGCCAGTAAGTCTTGCCCTTAGACACACACTGGTCTAGTGGGGACAACAGAACCACACAAATTGGGGGACAAAAATAGCAGCAAGGCTTGCTGGAAAATTCAAATGCAAAGGACAAAGGGCAAAGAAGAGGGGAGCTTGAGCCATACTGGAAAACATCCACACCATGAAGGAAATCAGAAAAAAAAAGACTCTCCCTCTCCCTTCACCCTGAAAACAGTTGAAAGTTCACTCTCATTGTGGTTACACGGATGCATTTTAAAAAATAAAAAATTGAGCCGGGTTTGGTGGCTCAGCCTGTAATCCTGCGCTTTGGGAGGCTAAGGTGAGTGGACTGCCTGAGCCCGCGGGTTCGAGACCCACCTGGGAAACTTGGCCAGACCTCATCTCTACAGTAAATAAAAAAATTAGCTGGGCATGGTAGCGCGCGCCTGTAGTTCCAGCTACTTGGAAGGCTGAGGCGGAAGGATCACTGGAGCCCAGCAGGTCGAGGCTGCAATGGCCGGGAGCGGCCACCACACTCCAGTCTGGGCCACAGAGTGAGACTCTGACTCAAAAAATAAAAAAAATAAAAAAATTGTTTAAAAAGAAAGTTCACTCTCAGTCTAAAAAGCAAAAAAATGCATGTTTGCCGGGTGCGGTGGCTACAGCACTTTGGGAAGCCGAGGTGAGAGGACTGCCTGAGCCCATGGGTTCAAGATCAGCCTTGGAAACTTGGCAAGCCCTCATCTCTATAATAAATCAAAAAATTAGCCGTGCATGGTGGCCTCACACCTATAGTTCCAGCTACTTGGAAGGCTAAGTAGGAAGGACTGCCTGAGCCCAGCAGGTCAAGGCTGTGGTGGCTGTGAGCATGTCACTGGGTGACAGAGTGAGACTCCAACTCAAAAAAAAGAAAAGAAAATGCATGCTATCTCTCTTTGATAGCCCCCTTCTGCCATATCATTTAATGTACCGGCAAATACGCCACTGCTCAGAAGAGCAGAATGCTGTACTATCCTGTGGTACAAATTTAAGCAGAGGCACAATGAGTCCTCTAAGAATCAGGGTGGGGATTCCTACCCTTGGGTCTTTTCCCCTCCACCCAAACTGGTGTAGGGATCAAAGGCAGTCAATTAATTACTTTCTACAATTCTAGAATTCCAGGGCTAAAACACAGGGTTCAATAAATGCTTTGACAATAACAGTGGTCATTTCTAAAAGAGAAGATAACACAAATTGCCAGGCAATCCCAAAGTCATTTTCACTTGTTTTGGGAATACACTATTTTTAGAAGCATTGTTTACATTCCTAATTATTATCTACCTTAGTTGACAAAAGCAGATAACAGAAAACAAACTCAATTTATCTAAATGCACACAGAATTATGGCACAAAAGCATAATAGGAAGTCAGACTGCAAGAAGACATTTGCTGGCTGATAATCCACAAAGTTGCTATCCAGCCACCTCTTGCTTCACAAAGTTCATTTTTGCATGTATGTTCCGCCATCTTGTATGTGACCTAACCTTTTTTTTCCAAATCAAAACTGAGTTTCACATTATTTGCCTGCCCATCCTCTAATATCTGACAGAGGGCAATGACAAAGTTAGAAACAGGGAAATGGCCAGTGAAGAGCCAGCGCCTGTTAATTTACTCATTCTTTTCCCTAAATAACCACTGGGTTGAATGTATTAGGCCTTACAAACAGCTGAGCAACCAAGTCCCCGTTCTGGGTCTCATATTCCTGATATGCCTCCCTTGAGTTTAGCAGTTGAAAGGCATACATGATCAACTCTGGGCTGGCAAGGAAAGAGGCAAAATAACAAGTGGGGGAGGGGAGAAGGGACAGGCAACTATCAAGTCCCCCAAAGTCCCCATTCACCCCACCCTCTTTCACAGAGCTTACATGTTTTTCTCTCCTTTATATGTGTGCTAGGTTGTTCAAGAGGAGGGGGTCCCCAGTCACCCCACTGCTGTGCTGATGCCACAAAACTAAACACTACTCACTTTTCTTCAATCTTTCTAAATACCCAGTTAACATCACTGGCAACTGGCTGCGTCCACATGAAGGCAATGACACCATCTAACAGGAGGGTCCAAGGTCTGCTGCCAGCTCCTCTTAGCCCCCAAACATCTGTACACACATACATTACCTCTCAATTTGACATGTGATCTAAGTCTGAAACAAGGTCGACAGTGAAGAGCTGTAGTGTGTATGTTTGAAAGGAATGTCAAAAATAAATTCGGCAGACCTGGATGCTGTAACCCTTCCTTCACCAACACCCCCCACCCATTTTCATACTAGTGGCTGCTGTTACTATGACAACCTGTCCAGGAAGTTGGCCCACACTTCTTCCTTGTGGAGCAGGAAGCTGGAGCAGTGTTTGTGTTGCCTCTGGAAAAAAAACTTGAAGGCCTCCTCCCCCACCGCCACCCCGTATCCCGCCTCAACCCAATTTCTTGACTCCCTTCCCCACCCTCCACACCTACCTCCTCTAACTCATCCTTGGCATCCAAACTGGTTGAAAGTAGCAGCCTCCCCCCTCCTGGGGCTCCTGCTCCCGCTCCTCCTCCTCCACCTCCCGCTGCTCCCGAAGCAGCAGTTGCTGCTGCCCCTTTTCCCTTCTGTAACTCCATGGCCGCAGCCAGGAGACGGGAAAAGGTCAGGGAGTGGATGGATGGAAAGACCTAGAAATGGGGATCTCTGGGTCGCCAGGGGCCGGGGGCCAGGGGACCAAGTGGGGGAGGGGCGGGCAGGGGCCCCTGTCCTCTCCACTCCTCCCCGCTCTCCAAAAGGCCGCGCCTGCGGAGGGGGCGAAGGCGGACGGTCCTCTAGGTCCTGACTCTGCAGTGGCAGTGCTGAGGGAAAGCCGCTAGCTCCGAAGTATGGTGGGCTGAGGATCTGTGCTCCTATGGGAAGGTTAGGAGAGGCCTCCGCCCTGACGTGGACCCTGAGAGCTTCTGACCCTAAGAAAAGGAGGGAAAACCCTAAGTTTCTGCCTCTTTTCCCGGTGGGGGCAGAAGAGAAGTCCTGCCCCCGAAGTAGGGGGTGGGGAACCTTCCTGGCTGTGGCTTCAAGGCTTGGGGAGCGAGGCTCCTTTGGATCCAGCCCCTAGGGGGTGAGGGTGCGGCAGTAAGCGCTATGGGAGGACACGGAGGACCAGCTTCTCCCCACACCACACAGAG